AAATGGAAAACAATTACCCATTTTCTTGTCCTCTTTTATCCTTGATTGCAGTTATGTAAAAAGCTTTACTCTTTAAAAAAAAAATTAACTGTTTGGCCAAGTCATGGGATCAACTCAGAATTTTATTATAACCCAGATTTTGGATAACCACATTTTCTTAAAATGTCTAGTAGACTGAATTGCACCTCTGGCTAATAACATGAACCACTGGAGCTAAGAACGGTTGAGTGAAAGCATCCAGCTACCAAAATATAATGGGATTTATTCCTTCATTCTGGTTTTAAAGAAATGTCTTAAAAATCCTACATTTTAGCTTGAAAGCTTTAGAAACTTTTTCAAATACCTCTGAGGAATCTACATACTTTGTAGCTCAACTTACTAATCTTATTTCATTCACATGGGGACATTCTCTTCTCTAAAGACTCTGCTTGCAGAGGATGGAATACCAAAGTAGTGTACTCTGGATTGGGGCTTTGATAAAATCTTTTCAGAAAAGAACCATAGTATAACAGTTTTGAAATACACTTTTTGGAATAATGTAAAATAGTGAAATGTAGGCAGATTTTTATAACCTTGCTAGCAAGCTAATTAAGGGCACATATTTCTGTCTTGGTTGAAGAAATTTTATTTCTTTCTTTTAGAAATTTCAGTGAAAATTATGATGAGAAAGAATTGTTTCTTTGCCAGTTTCAACACCTTGGAGATATTAGTGTATTAATCCCACGTGTTATCTGAAGGGAGCCTTGAACTGCAGCCAGAATTTCTGAGTTCTGGTCTTGAAACTGGTATGTGCTATTTAAGATGTCCTAATCACATTAATTAATCTCTTCTGGAAGAGATCATGAGGGCTAATCAAATATTCCATGTGTTCTTCAATATTTGTAAGCATTCCCTGTGGCTATGTTGGGGTCATGTGACAAATGCGGAACATAAATCCAAGGGATGTTTGTCTTCCAGTTTGAAGGAGTTAAGTGAACCAGGATACATTTTCAATAATCTTTGTCATTTGCAAGGCAGCAAATAATGGTTTTAAAATGGCCAAGTTGCAAGATGGAAGTAAGGAGATCTCTGAGTTGTAAAAAGCAGAGGAAAGCCATTTGTTCACTGTGGTATGAAAAAGAAAGAAATAATTTGCTGTATCAAGCTACTCAAATCTGGGGGTTGTTTTGTGCCACAGCATAGCATATCCTGTGTTGACTAGCATCTCTCCAGGAGTTGTCATAAACTGAGGGGTTTAGAGACTTCTTAATTCTGTTCTAGTTTGTATTCCTGAAACTGTCTTCGGGCATATGACCTTCATTTTAGAAAAGAAAGAACAGATTTGGAGATAACTGACTCAAGTCACAAAGTAATAAGTTTGTGGCCAAGTTGCACAATGTATTTCTCTGGGACTCTGCAGATTCATATTCCTCAGGTGTATTTCTCTACAACCTGTGAGATTAACTATGGGATCATTCAAATTGACCCTTAACAAAATGCCAGATTGACTCTGTTTCTGTTTGCTAGGTTTTGTTCACTTAGACATGATGTAATTCTGTGATGCAATGGATAATATAGTATTCAACCTCCTGACTTTAATACCATGGACTTATCTAGGAGATTATGGAGTCTGATAGTATATATATTATGTCTATTTTCAATTGGGAAAAAATTCTACCTCTGTGTTTAGTTTTGAAATTGCTATTAAACAAGAACCTTATCATAGATCCCAACGCTATCTTCACAAAACTTAAATTTAGAAATTTAATGCAGGGGTCCCAAACCCTTGGGCCATGGGCTGATACCAGTCCTTGATCTGTTATGAACTAGCCATACAGTAGGGAGTGAGTGGCAACAAGCAAAGGAAGCTTCGTCTGTATTTACACCTGCTCTCCATCACTGGCAGTACCACCTGAACTCTGCCTCCTGTCAGATCAGCGGCAGCATTAGATCCTTATAGCAGCATGAACCCTGCACATGTGAGGGACCTAGGTTGCACACTCCTTATGAGACTCTAACGCCTGATGATTGTGACTATCTCCCATCACCTCTAGATGGGACTGTCTAGTTGCAGAAAAACAAGCTCAGGGTTCCCACTGATTCTACATGATGGTGAGTTGTAGAATTATTTCATTATATATTACAATGTAATAATAGAAACAAAGTGTACAATAAATGTAATGCTCCTGTATCCCGAAACCATCCTCTCAGCCCCAGTCCATGGAAGAGTTGTCTTCCATGAAACTGATCCTGGGTGCCAAAAGGTTGGAGACTATGGACTTAATGCATTTGTAACTACCTGGTAGTTTCTTGTCTTTGGTACTTAGGGTGGATATAATTGTCATCACAATGGTCAAGTGTCAAAATGCAAAATGTAGTACACATAAACAAATATTGATGGGGATAAAATGAGTTAATAGCTGTAAAGCCCCTAGAACAGAGTCTGGCATAGATTTAACAATATACAGGCATTTATCAAGTAACACAAATAAAAGTGGTTTATGATGGATCATGAGACGCTGTGAGTGAGGATCTAATTGACATCCCTTTAATTCTTCCTTTAATAGAGCCCCAGATACAAGTCATCCAATTTCTACTTAACCATTTTTGTTGCTAGGAAATATGATTTTGTATTACATGATAAAATATTTTTACTTTTTATTTTAATTAAGATTTTAATTTTAATTGAGATATTTAATTAAATTTTAATATTTTAATTGAGATAATGGGACCCACCATTATCTCAATTAAAAATAAGAAGACCAGCTAAGGGGAGTTAAGAGATTTACTCAAGGTTACAAAGTGATCAGCGTCCTTCACTATCTGCCTAGGAATTTCATAGTCTTTCCTCATCAGTCTTTTATATCACTGTCTCCATTATTAGTAGGAGTAACAGTGCCATGTGATTTGAGCATGGTAGCCCACAAGTCCCACTATTAATTTTCTGCAGGATAGGAATCATCTCAGCCAAGATTTGGAGCTCAGGCGATTTCCCTCTGACTGAGCAGCATTTATTATTCAAATACACTTATTCAATAAACTTAATTATTATATATTCAGCTATTTAATAATCTGTGCTAGAATTTTATCATACTGTCACATTTCTTTTTTCTCTGACCTTTTTGAAGCTTTTTTTCCAGTGGCTGCGTTGTGTCACACCAACCGTCTTAAAGACAAGGCCAGGCGCATGGTGAATATTTGTTGATTGTATAGTTGCTGAAAGGAGGCAAGTTCAAACAAGTCACTTTTAGAAGAATTTGGACTTCAATAGACTCTCAAATGTTTGAAAACTCCTATCACTACCATGTCTTGTTTCTGGGACATTTTGGTTTTCTGTATTAGAAAAACATCAGATAACTCAGTTCGATCACTGGGGAGCCTGTAATTTGCTCACAGTATTATGTCACTTATGTTCTCCTGATCATTTATGGAAATTATGTTATTCTACTTCTCTCTGTTTCATAGGTGAATCTTAATTCCATTCCATCCTTTTACATTATTTCTATTAAATCTATTTTTTGCTTTATTTTTGTTAAGGGGTATCCTGCCACCATTGTACTCTAGGCATAATCTCATCCATAGTATCAGAGATACTCCTCAGATTGTGTATTTGCCTTATTTAAAAAATAAAACTTTTTTTAAATGGCTCTATTCTGTCAATTGCTGTTAACAATTGAAGCCATATCATTCGTGCCCGTTATTTTAAGATAAGACAAATCATTTGTTTCCTGGAACTGAATGAGCTGCTTTTCTCGTAGTTTTGTATATTTTTCCAACTTAGGCGTGCTTATAATTTTCTTCCATTAACCTTCAAAATTCTTTATCTCCTTAGGGTTAATATAGTGAAATAATTATGTGGGAAAATGGAAGGCATGTAGGCTAGGCTTTTGAAGTCTAGCTTTACTACTTGGTATCATGTAATACTGAACAACATATTTAATCTCCCTGATCCTCATTTTCCTTTTGGGTAAAAGGAGAATAATGTGCATACAGAATAGGGATTAAGGGCATGGACTCTCAAACTATTCTGCCTGGTTTGAAGCTTCACCGTGCCCTATTTTGCCTATGTTTTTATTGGCAAATACTTTACATGGTTCAGTAAAAAATAGGGTAAGCAATTAGATCTTCTTCATATGGTGATAGTGAGAAATATTTTTATATGTGCTTTCTCTCTCAGATTGTAATGGAGGTTCAAAATAAAGCTTGGTATACTAGCATTATATAAGCAATAGTAAGATTATTATTTGCATGTTTTACAGTCATCCTTCAGTATAATTGGGGAACTGATTCCAGGACCCCTTGCAGATACCAAAGTTTACAGATACTCAAGTCCTTCCTATAAAATGGCATTAATATTTGTATATAACCAGTGCACATCCTCTCATATACAATAAAACATCTCAGGATTACTTATAATAACTAATACCATGTAAATGTGTAAATACTGTCATGTGTCACATAAAAACTTTTCACTCAGTAATGGACCACATCTATGATGGTGGTTCCATAGCAGTATAGTAGAGCTAAAAAATTTCTATTTTCTATTTACCTTATAGCCATATACATTATCCATGTGTTGGTGGTGATGCTGGTATAAACAAACCTACATATACGATTATATACAGTATATAATACTTAGTAATGATAATAAATGACTGTTACTGGTTTATGTGTTTGAAGTACTAAAAATTTTATGGTTATTTTTGAGTATGCTCTTTTTACTTAAATGAATAAAAAAGTTAACTGGAAAACAGCCTCAGGCAAGTCCATCAGAAGGTATTCCAGAAGAAGGCACTGTTACCATAGGAGATGACAGTTTCATTGCTGTTATTGCCCCTGAAAACCTTCCAGTGAGAAAAGATGTGGAGGTGGAAGAGAGTCATATTGATGATCCTGACCTTTTGCTGGTCTAGGCTAACGTGTTTGTTGGTGTCCTAGTTTTTTCCAGCCTAGGGGAGAATTTTGAAAGACGATACTGGGTCCCACTGGATCCATGCTTGGGGTGAGGGGTGCTCTAGGTTGGGTCAATGATGAGAACCTTATATTGTCCTGAAGAGATGTGATGACTTAAAAAAAAAAAGAAAGCATTTAAGAAAATTTAACATTTAACAAATAAAAGCATTTAAGAAAAACATTAAAAAATTAAAAATAGAAAAAAATCTTATAAAACAAATAAATGAAAAAAAAGTTTTGTATGGTTGTAAAATCTGTTTGTGCTTTAAGCTAAGTGTTGATATAAAAGAGGAAAAAAGTTTAAAAAATTAAAGAGTTTGTAACATAAAAAAGTTATAGAAAATTCAGTTTAATTTATTGTTGAAGGAAAAAATTAAATAAATTTGGTGTAGCCTAAGTGCACATTATTTACAAAGTCTATAGTACTGTACGGAAATGTCCTAGGCCTTCACATTCACTCGCCACTCACTTACTGACTCACACTGGGCAACCTCTAGGCTCGCACGCTCCATTCATGGTAAATGCCTGTATTAGGCTGTTCTGGCATTGCTATAAGGAAATACCTGAGACTGAATAATTTCTAAAGATAAGAGATTTAAATGGCTCACAATTCTGTAGGCTGTACAGGAAGCATGGTGCTGGCATCTGCTCACCTTCTGGTGAGGACTCAGGGAGCTTTCAAGAATGGTGAAAGGTGAAGGGAGAACAGTTATGTCACTTGTCAAAAGCAGGAGCAAGAGACAGTGAAAGAAACAGAGACAAAGAGAAAAAAGAGACAGAGTGAGTGTCAGGGCAGGAGGTGCCACACTTTTAAACAACCAGATCTCAAAAGAACTCATTCACTATGGCAAAGACAGCACCAAGCCATGAGGTACCTGCCTTATGACCCACACACTTCCCACCAGGCCTCACCTCAGCACTGGGGATTACAATGCAACATGAGATTTAGATGGGGACAGATATCTACAAATATCCAAATATCAAAACTATCTCAGTGCCCTATACAGATGTACTGTTTTTATGTTTTTATCTTTTTCTTTTTTTTTTTGAGATAGAGTTTCACTCTTGTTACCCAGGCTAGAGTGCAATGGTGCTATCTCAGCTCACTGTAATCTCTGCCTCCTGCGTTCAAGTGATTCTCCTGCTTCAGCCTCCTGAGCAGCTGGGATTACAGGCATGCATCACCATGCCCAGCTAATTTTTTGTATTTTTAGTAAAGACAAGGTTTCACCATGTGGGTCAGGCTGGTCTCAAACTCCCAACCTCAGGTATCAGCCTGACTCAGCCTCCCAAAGTGCTAGGATTATAGGGGTGAGCCACCGTGCCTGGCCTGTTTTTATCTTTTATACCTTATTTTTACTGTTCCTTTTCTATGTTTAGATATGTTTAGATACACAAATCCTTAACATATGTTACAGTTACTTAAAATATTCAGGACAGTAACATGCCGTCCAGGTGTGTAGCCTATGAGTAATAGGCTATTCAATACAGCCTAGATATGTAGTAGGCTACTATCTAAGATTGTGTTATTACACTCTGTGATAATTTCTCAGTGACAAAATCGCCTGAGCACACATTTCTTAGAACATATCTGTCTTTAAGCAGTGCATGATTATAGTTGTTGTACTGTGTTGTTTTTATAATTTGTATTATTTTTACTGCTGTATTATTATTTTTTATGATTTCATTTTTTCCAAGTGTTTATGATACAGAGTTGGTTGAATTTGTGGATACATAACCTTCTGATACAGAGGGCTGAGTGTATGTTATAGTGCTTTGATTATAGTTCAGAGATCTGTAAACTTTTTCTATAAAAGGTCAGATAGTAACTATTTAAGGCTTTGTGAGACACCTATACAACTGTGCCATTGCATAGCAAAAGTTGTTGTAGATGATATATAACCAAATTGGCTTGGTTTTGTTCAATGAAACTTTATTTACAGGCTTAGGCTGGTTTTGGTCCATTGGTCATACTTTGCTGACCCCTGATATGATTGATTGTCAACACAAATTTGATCCCATCAGGCAATTTTGCCTTTTCTTCACCAAATTACACATACTCAGTCTCTGTAGCTCTGATTTTGCATTTTATTTCTCTTGCTCATCTGAAAGAATTCAATTTTCAATTGTTTAACAAGCTTTTTGAGCTGTGTGCCAGTACAGAGCTCAACTTTAGTGTTAGTTTGTACTTGTTAAATAGAATTAGGAATACATTTTTAGAATCAAATATACTCATAATAGAGAGCTTTTTTATTTTCATCTCTCTCTCGATGGACTAAGTTGAGAATATACATTCTCAGTTTTTCAATTTGAGATATGTTAAAGTATAAAGCTAAAATTTAAACCATATCAAGATCATTTATTATTAAGATTATTCTGTGTATACTATGTCTGTTGTCTTAATAAGTAAGTTTTGTTTTGTATTTTCCAACTGGCTTCTGTTGTCTTGAGAATACACATTCTCAACTTCTCCACATAGGTCTCTAATAGATACCCAAACCTGCAGTATACAAAATCAAACTCCTTATTTTCACCCACTAATCTATTCCTTCTGCAATATTCCTCTTCCTTGCAGTTCTTCAGTTCAAATTTTTCAGTCATCCTTGACAATTTCCCCTCTCACATTCTACTGGAATTCAACAGAACATTCCTCTGGTACTGTCTTCAACATATATCCAGCTTCTGGCCACTGTGCACAACCATTACCAGCACCACTAAGTGATGGGAAGAAACAAAATATTTCAACAAGTAACATTTTTGCTCAGTAACTCAAGATGTTTTTCAATTTGAGAGATAACGAAGTATAAAGCTAAAATTTAAACCATATCAAGATCATTTATTATTAAGATTATTCTCTGTATACTATGCCTATTGTCCTAAAAAGTTTTGTTTTGTATTTTCCAACTGGATTCTGTTGTCTTGTGAAATGGCTGTTTACTTTGGTGTGTCATGTATTTAGGCCATTTTAATTAACTTTCAAAATAATTTTCTTAATGTCTTTTGCATTTTTGGAACATACCTCTTTCTTTAAGATGAAATTTTCTTTTCCCCTCCAATATAGGGATTCCTTGTTTTATTTTACTTTGCTCTACTGCTTAGTAGATATTGTGAACTTTTGTTTTTCAGATTGAAGGTTTGTGGTGAACTCCTATAAAGCAGGTGTAGTGTCATTACTTTTCTTCTTTTTTAAATTTAACTTTTAAGTTCAGGAGTGCATGTGCAAGTTTGCTGTATAGGTCAACTGGTGTCACAGGAGTTTGTTGTACAGATTATTTCATCACCCAGGAATTAAACCTAGTACCCATTTATTATTTGTGCTGATCCATTCCGTCCTTCCAGCCTACACCCTCCAATAGGACCCGGTGTGTGTTGTTCCTCTCTACGTGTCCATGTGTTTTCATCATTTAGTTCCCACTTATAAGTGAGAACATGTGGTATTTGGTTTTCTGTTCCTGTGTTAGTTTGCTAAGGATAATGGCCTCCAGCTCTATCTGTGTTCCTGTAAAGGACATGGCCTCATTCTGCTTTATGGTGAATATGCACCACATTTTCTTTATCCGGTTTGCCATTGATGGGCGTTTAGGTTGATTCCATATCTTTGCTATTGTGAATAAGGCTTCAGTGAACATACTGTAAATAGTACTGCAGTTCTATTTATGTGATGGATCATATATATTGATCTGTGTATGTTGAAAAACCTCGCATCCCAAGGATAAAGATTCCTTGATCATGGTGGGTAACCTTCTTAATGTGCTGCTGTAGTTGGTTTGCCCGTATTTTTTGGAGGATTTTTGCGTTGATGTTCATTAAGGTTATTGGCCTGAAGGTTTCTTTTTTGTTATGTCACTGTCAGGTTTGGCACCAGGATGATGCTGGCCTCATGGAATGAGTTGGGGAGGTGTTCAGCAGGAATGGTACCAGGTCTTCTTTGTACATCTGGTAGGATTCAGCTATGAACCTGTCTGGTCCCGGGCTTCTTTTGGTTGGTAGGCTATTTATTACTGATTCAATTTTAGAGCTCATTATTGGTCTGCTCAGAGAGTCCTTTTCTTCCTCAGTGTTGGAAATGCGTGTGTCCAAGAATTTATTCATTTTTCTAGGTTTTCTAGTTTATGTCCACAGAGGTGTTCGTAATGTTCTCTGATGGTTATTTGTATTCCTGTGAAGTCAGTTGTAATATCCCCTTGTCATTTCTGATTATGTTTATTTGAATTTCTCTCTTTTCTTTATTAGTCTAGTTAGAAGTCTATTTATTTATTTGAAAAACAGCTTCTGTATTAATTGATCTTTTGAATGGTATTTTTGGGTGTCTATGTCCTTCATTTCAGCTCTGATTTTGGTTATTTCTTGTCTTCTGCTAGCTTTGGGGTTTGTTTGCTCTTGGTCCTCTAGTTGTTTTATTTGTGATGTTAAGTTGTTAACTTAAAATCTTTCTTACTTTTTGATGTGGGCATGTAGTGATATAAGCTTCCCTCTTAACATTGCCCCAGCTGTGTCCCAAGACTCTGGTATGTTGTATCTTTGTTCTCATTAGTTTCAAATAATTTCTTGATTTATGCCTTAATTTCATTATTTTCCCAAAAGTCATTCAGAGCAGTTATTCAATTTGCATGTAATTGTATGGTTTTGAGTGAATTTCTTAGTCTTGATTTCTATTTAATTGCACTGTGGTTCAATAGATTGTTTGTTATGATTTCAGTTCCTTTGCATTAGTTGACGAGTATTTTACTTCCAATTATGTGATTGTCAGAGGATATGCCATGTGGCCATGAGAAGAAGGTATATTTTGTTGCTTTAGATGGAGAGTTCTGTAGATGTTATCAGGTCCACTTCATCCAGTGCTGAGTTCAGGTCTGATTATCTTTGTGAATTTTCTGTCTTGATGATCTGTCTAATATTGCCAATGGGATGTTAAAGTCTCCCATTATTATTGTGTCAGGGTTTGTTTCTCTTTGAAGGTTTCTAAGAACTTATTTCATGAATCTCGGTGCTGCTGAGTTGGGTGCATGATGTTCCTTTAGTCTTTGAAACTGCTGACCTTTGGATTGTTTTCTTTTTATTATATTTTGTGACCTTGAGAATTCAATTGTGGTGGGACCAGTGGTCAGCTCCCAACTACTGGACTGTGTGCTGTAACTCTGGGGGAC